ACCTGGGGTCAAGAATCAATTAACATATACAATTCATTGCTGTTTGGTACTTAGACACTGTATTACAGTGCAATAATAATTGTGAGTGACCAGGGCAGCCTGGTGTGCAGGCAGTGTGGAAGGAAGGCCAGGAGAATGGGTGAGAAGGCTCTGTAACACACAGTCTTGATGCTAATGGGTTTTGAAGGGAGCTGCAGATGTTTAATGCAGGTTGCCATCCAGGCTGGAGCTTTTGAGCTGTGGAGGGATGTGGTGGAGGCTTCATCAGCTTGTGGATCCACGTGGTGGTAGCAGAAAGCTAAGTGGTCTGTGCAATCTGCAGCTGGTTCCCGGTTGAAGTTACTGTTTGGTATGGTAAGATGAGATAAAATCTACTTTCTTGAGCTGTCTGTTGGTGTGGAGGAGTTCAGTGTCCCCTGTTGTGCCTGCACTGAGGTTTAAATGGGCTTTGCATTTACCAGCAGGTTCCTGCCCAACATTGCTCTGATTTGAGCACTGTTTGTTGCTTTGTGCAGGGAGGCAGGGAAGGGGAGAGGGAAAAAGATGGTGAAAAGGCAATCTCATCATCCTGAAGCTAAGCCCTGATTTATTCTGTGTTTAAGTCCAGAATCTGGGGAGGAGCAGAGCCTGGGGAAAAGGAAGAAGGTTGCAGGGACATCGAGGGGAGAGCACAGGGTCCCTGTCACTGCTGCCTGTCCTTTCTGTGCTCCCTTCCTCACTGGTTTTTCATGACCCAGCTCAGGAAGAGGCTCCTGGCTTTTCCAGTGTGTGGTTTGTTTGTTTAAAGTCAGGTACCTCCCAGAGAAAACCCCTGCAAGCATGTCAGGACTACACGAACACAAAGAGTCTCTGATTTAAGGAGCATCATCTTGTCAGAGACTGTGGGATCAGGGTAGGAGTCATCTGTCCATGTCTGAATTATTAACTGTTGTTCTTTCTCAGCAATTCTCCATTGCTTTAATAACAGCCAGTGCAGTGGAAAGAGCTGTCAAGGCCTGCAGCTAGTGGTGGTACATCACTCTACAAGATGTGTGAGCACCCTGCGATTCCTCCCGGGGTGGGAGGCTGGAGCATCAGTGCAAAAAAAACCTCATCAGTGTGCAGAGAGACCTGGATGCTGCTCCAGAGCAGAGCTGAGCACAGCAGCACCGCCAACGCTAAAAAGGACTCTGTTTGCTCAAGCTGGGTGATGGGCACTGCATAGGCAGAGGTACAACAGGAGGGCTTGGATGGGTCAGCCCTGCCTTTGATATCTTAGATGACTCAGAAAAATCAATTCCTTTCCATATTTCTCTTTCCACCTCCACTTTCCTCAAGGACTCATACAGATTTATAAGCTCCTTGGCCCCTGCTCTTGCAGGAAGCAGCAGCAGGAGGGAGAGAGCTGGAGCATCTCTGTGTCTGAAGCTGCTGAGCCCCCACCCCACCAGCACTGAGTGGAACAGGGATCCTCACACCCTCAGCTTTGCTGCTGCCAGGGGCTGCTAATGCAGACCTGCCCAAAAGCAGAGGAAATCCTGCTCTCTGGGTGCTTAGCTGCCTAAATACCTAGTGGATCTAAACCTCTGAGGGCAGTGCAGAGCTACACCTGTCAGAATGTTTTCCTTCCGAGCCTTTGAAGCCAGGAAGGGTCATCTAAAGCACTTGGATTTTTTTATCCCTTAGCGTGTTTTGTGTCTGGAATATGCTTACACTGATGTCTGGGTTCTGCTAACATGAGAAAATCCAGGTTGTGTGGTGTTATTTGTCTAAAAGGTCACAGCTCATCTGACCTGATGTTTCTCAAACCCCAAACCCTCCTGCTGGGTGTTAAAACAGCAAGTAAGGACTGTGGTAGATTGTGAGCAGAGTTTTAAACACGGTTTGGAAATACGTAAAGACATCTTAGGGCATAAATGGGGATAAATTGACAGAGGGAAACTGAGGTGGAATATCAGGCAGACGTTTTCCCTGTGAGAGTGGTGAGACACTGGCACAGGTTGCCCAGGGAGGCTGTGGATGCCCCACGCAGATTTTGGATGCCCCGGGGAAAGAAAAACTCCAACCCTGGCAGTGTTCACAGCCAGGTTGGATGAGCCTTGAGCAACCTGCTCTGCTGGGAGGTGTCCCTGCCCAGGGCAGGGGTTGGGGCTGGATGTTCTCTAAGCTCCATCCCAACCCCTTAACTCTCTGTGATACTATGATCTTGCAAAGCAAGGGCTATTCGCATGACTTTCAGCAGGTAGATGTCAAATTAGGATACCCTGCTTGTAAAGGGAGAGCTCTTGTGTTAAAGAGCAGCATGGGGACATCTCCTTGCCTGAAATCTCCCTGGAACAAACGAGATGAATTTCCAGCTAGCAAGGTCACATCCAGATCTTGGTCTGCACCTTCACAGGCTGCTTAGACCTGACGGCGTAAATTGTAGTCCTGTCTCTGCAATTCTGTGTTCATGTACCTACAGACAGCTCTTCAGGGCACAGAGCATCAGGTGTAGCAGGAGAGGACCTTCAGGAGATGATCCCTCTCTTTGTCACCACGTCTCTTCCCTGATGCTTTCACCATCCAGCTGTGCAGGCTCCTTTCTCTTCCCTTGTGCTGTTCTTTATCCCTGGGAGTTTATCCCTCTAGAACATCTCCAAATGAATCCCTTTTCCCTTGGTCACTGCTCTTTGTGGTTTGAACACTTTGCCATGCACCTTGATGCCAAAACAGTGAGCAGAGGAGAGTTGGAGATGTAGGTAAGGAGAACCTCCAACCTCCTTGAGGTCCTTATCCTTATGGTAGACAGTCAAAGCCAAGTATTTCCCATTCATAATCCACCTCCTTCCTATTTCACCTTCCCAACCAGAACACTCTGCAATGCCCCTTTCCATCTGCCTTGGGGTCAGCCAGCTTCACACCTTTCTGCCTCCCCACCATGGTCCAGGCCCTGCCTGCATTGTATCAGAGGCTCCTTGGGCCCTAATAAATATCTTTGGCTCCAAAGGAGAGTTTAAATGTCTTCTGCAGGGTCTAAAAGTGAGATTCTGTCCTCACTTGAGCTTCTGTCCTCACCCTCGGCTCGTGGTGGGCAGGAGGCATGGGAGAGCAGGGACTTAGCAAAGCCAAGAATTAAAATTTGGCATAAATACAGTGGATGTCTAGACTTTGAAATAATAAATGTTTTGGAGGGCAGACTCGTCCCTGGCTGTGCATCCCGTGTGGCCTGTGGCCCAGCACGGGTCAGAGTGGAGCTGTGGGGTTGGGTGGTCCTGTCTGGGGAAGACAACAGAGGTGTTAGCTCTGTGGGGATGCAGAGACTTGCTGAATGTCTTCACTTGGGTGACAACACAGCGAAGTAGAATGTTCCTTAGCCTCTCTGTGTTGTACAACATAGATTATCTCTTCTGGGAGTTCTACCTGGTGGTCCAAAGCACCTGGGAGCATCTGCATGGGCTGTCAGGGGACCCTCTCACCTGTTGGCAGTGTTCACTACAGAATGAACTGGCAGAAATGCATCCACAGGAGTGTAGGCAGCAGGAAGGAGGTGATTCTCCCCCTCCACTCTGCTCTGGTGAGACCCACCTGGAATCCTGCACACAGTTCTGGTGTTCTCAGCATCAGAAGGACATGGAGCTGTTGGAGCAAGTCCAGGGGAGGACACAGAGCTGATCAGAGACTGGA